AGACTATAAGTTTTAAAAGTATTCCTTTCTTTCATAAACTTTGTGCCGAGTAAAACTACCTCACATGAAATGTGACAGAGGAAGTAATATTTTTCATGAGTTTTTATTTTTTGGAAAATTTAAAATCATTATGGCTTATAACTTCATCTGACTATTCCTAAAGTCATACCTAATATGGATATTCATATTTTTTTGTCGATTAACCTATATTTTTTAATACATTGAGTCAGATATTTTATTCATTTTTGGCCAATCCATATATGATTCGACCCACTCGTTTCCACTCCTAGATACATGGCTTTTTCTTAAAGAGCCTATTTTGTAGGTTATAGATTTTTATTTTTTTTTTAAAATCCAAGTACTATTTGCAGAAAAAACAATCTTTCCATATAAAATGAAAGAATTATTGGAATAGATTTGATACATTTGGAGTATTATATAGAAGTTGTTAACAAGTTTTAGATTTAAAGCTTTCTTTTGATTTGTTTTGGCTTTAGGACACTAATATGCTTGAGCCACCCCTGCTTTGTCATTTTCCATTCGAATATGTTAACAGCCTGAGCAACAAGGAACTATGAATTAGGATAATCCGTAGCTAAATAAGATTAACAAACGATTTTGCTGTTTATCTATAAAATTTGTCCATACAGAGTCCCCTGATTTTTATAGTACCCATGGAAATCCTACTTTGAGATGTGTATATACAGGGACTGATCAGCATAACTATCTCAGCAATCATGCCACAACTCCGTCCTCCACCTTGTCCAACTCAGGAGAATTGCAAAGAAGCTTCGAATTCACAGCTTTGGGCACTCTACATTTGCCTACTTTTGACATCTATTGGTACAGGAGGCCTTAGACCTTGTGTAGTTACCTTTGCTGCTGATCAATTGGACATGAGGAAATCTAAAGTAGAATCGCGAAAGTGGAACTTTTATAATTTGTTCTATTTCTGTGTCACAATGGCTACGTTAACTGCATTAACTGTTGTCGTTTATATACAAGATAACGTAAATTGGGGATGGGGTCTTGGACTTCTAACAATTGCTATGGCATTGTCTGTTGTCGTGTTTGTTGTTGGATCTCCATTTTACAGAAAAGTAGAACCAGGAGGAAGTCCATTAATCAGATTGACACAGGTTATTGTTGCCTCAGTGAGGAAGAGAAAAGTCGTTGTTCCAGACGATGATCGTCTCTTATATGAGAACAGAGAGCTTGATTCTGCTATCTCACATGATGGAAGGCTTTTGCATACTAATCAGTTCAAGTAAGGTGATTTAAAGTAACGTTTGATGAACGCGAATATGTAGCATAGATAGAATAGCTAAAAGAAATGGACAGATAAAATTAACTTGCAAAAAGAATGAATCAATACATATTCTAGTTTTTAAATTATGAGTTTATGAATACAACTTGCATATAAATTATGCTCTTTTAGTTAATTTGGTTCACAACTTATATCATCTTTTATTGTTAACTTGATTTCTCAGATGGTTACTCCGTTAATAGTTATTATTTCAGAAAGTCATGAAAATATTGAAATCTAAGAAAAAAAAGATTTTCTGATATAATAACTATTAGTTGAGTGATCATTGACCGTGTTATTGCTTTACTAATTCAACCAATTGGTTAAGGTGGATTGATCGATCAGCTGTAGTAACCGGCGATGACATGAAAGAGTCGTGCCAGCCAAATTTATGGAGGCTAGCTACCGTTCATAGAACGGAAGAGCTGAAATGCATCCTAAGGATGCTTCCGATTTGGGCTGCAGGGATATTACATTTTGCTTCACATTCACATGTAGGCAGCTTTACAATCCAACAGGCGCGAAGTATGGATCGTCATTTGTCCCACAGCTTCCAAATACCTCCAGCCAGCATGTCTATTTTTAGCGTCCTAACGGTGCTCATTGGCCTTGTGCTTTATGAGCGCTTCTTTGTTCCTTTTGCTCGTCGATTCACAGGACACAAATCAGGCATTACATGCTTACAGAGAATGGGAATAGGATTCGCCATTAATATTCTTGCTACTGCAACTTCAGCACTAGCTGAGATTAAGCGTAAAACGGCAGCTGCAGATCATAACTTACTTGATCAGCCAACGACTCATGTCATTCCTATTAGTGTCTTCTGGTTGGTTCCGCAGTATTGTCTTCACGGTGTAGCTGAAGTTTTCATGAGTGTTGGACACCTTGAATTTCTCATTGAACAATTCCCTGAAAGCATGAGAAGCACTGGAGCTGCACTTAACTCGTTAGCTTCGTCGTTTGGAAATTACTTAGGTACATTTATAGTAACTCTAGTTCATCGATATACCGGAAAAGAAAGGAATTGGCTACCAGATAGGAATCTCAACAGAGGAAGACTTGAAAACTTTTACTGGCTTATGGCTGGAGTACAAGTAGTAAATTTTGTATACTATCTTATATGTGCATCATTATATACATACAAACCCTTGGAAGAGATTACTGAAGGATGCAAGGGAACAGATGTGGAATTAGCTGATGAAACAACTTTGTTAGACAATTCTAAAGGTGATGGACAAACAGATAGAGCAAGAAATGGAATGAACTAATATATTGCTTAGTTAAACTAGTAGAAATTTTATTTTTCAAGTTTTAGCTGTCACAAGTTGATACTGTTAAATGTACCAAAAATAAAGGTTGAAACTATTTCAACCTCTGTCTCAATTGATGTGACACATTTCAATTTTTGAGATTCGAACAAGTCTATTTTTGACCATAATTTTTCATATTTCTTTTAAATATTTTGAATTATCAATCATTGTGACTTATAGTACTTAAGTAGTTTACAAATATATAAATTTCATTTTAAAATAATTGAAGATTTCACGAGCAAATTCTCGGTCAAACTTAAAATGTTTGACTCTCGAAAAATGGAATGTGTCACGTAAATTGGAACCGAGGGAGTAAAGAAAATGGCATAATGTTGAAGCAACCATTTTGTATTTGATGCAAGGGCAAGATATTTGTTCTTTTCTTTCTTTTTGAGCTATGAACGTTAAGATGTGGCACATTTTTTTCTTATATAGTTTTTCTAGAATGTTAGGAATTTATTTTGGGATTCAACTAAGCGGACTTACTCTTGTTGAGAATACAGTTCACTAATAAAATTGTGCTCTGCTCTCTCTAACAAGTTAAGCTTTTAGATGAGATGGTCATACACTTAAACAACTCTCAAGGGAAATGATGCCTAGATCTTTGAGATTCGAAACAAAATCCATGACACCAAGAAGGGTGAGTTGACTATCAGTGATTGAAATTCAGTCTAAGTGGATTAATGGAAGATATTGACTATTACCATGATCTTCAATCAACGTATAGCGATGTTGCAATTCTCTTTCAACAACTGGTTGAAAAGGATAAGAGTTTATGATTTTTTGGTCGGGTTTGAACCAAGAATATGATCAGATCAGGGTTTAAGTTCTCGATAAAATTTATTTTCCTTTTCTTGAGGATGCATATTCATATGTTCATCGATGAGGATCATGCTATATTATGCACCAACTGAGAAGTCTGGATGAAAGAAAACTACGCACCAACAGTTATTTCTAGGAACCTGGTTCCTAGAGTCGTATTAGAACAAAAAGTAAAAATTACATGGTAGACTAACTAGAGGTCAATCAATCAGCTAACATTGTAGAATATGTGGAGACATCCAGAGAAACTACTTCTGGAGAAACTTTGTCTACAGATGAAAATCTACATGTTCGTCATCTCTTGAACAAACTTGATTTGTCTAATCCTATCAGTTCCAATTATGTGCAGTACTAAGGTATTGTTTTTAATGATCAGCTTAATTCCTGAATTATTTTTTCTGGAACAAATAAACACATGACATACTTCTCTAAAGGCTTTCAAAACTATTCTCCATGTACTTGAGTTTTCTGTTAACATGTTATCCATTATTTCTATCACCAAAGAACTAAATTTTAGCAACGAGTTCCTTAACATGCCTTGTAATTATAGCACATCTTATGCCTTTTCACTTGAAGTTTTGTTCTTATGCTTGTTTTATTGTATTTTTATGTTAGAATGTTGTTTTGTAGGTTTTAAATGTCCAAATCTGAGGCAAGACCACAAAATTTATAGACGATAAAAAGGTGAGATGGATAGGTGCACTGAATTTATTGCTTCTAGTTCTTTTGCTCCTTGATATATCTCAGTTATTTTGATGATCCTTACAAATGCAAGGACCCGGTCCCCAGCATAGTATTCTCGTCCAGGTACAATATGGTGTACAACTGGAAAATTGTTTTGTCAGGATGTTGGTGAAGCAGTCAATGTACTTCACCAATAAAAATGGATGAGGTTGTTTGTCCAGTGGTCAGCAAATCTTCTTGATTGATATAATCAAGAGACAAACAACTTGATCATTCATTCACAAAAAGAGAGAGAAGTAATCAAGCCTCAAAACACAAAATACAGTAGGGACCTAATCAACTGAAGAAGTGCTATATGTGTGTACTGTTGTCTTTTAAATGCTTGTAATGTACTAAACTTGTAAGATTCGTTTCACTCTTATAAGAAACGTTTCAAACCTTTGTGTGAGTCATTGTAAGAACATTGTTATAGTAACTTTGGGTCTTACTATTGAAGTCTATATTAATTAGTGATAGTTAATATAGTGGGCAATGGATGCATTGCGTTGGCTCAGTAAGTAATAGGTGTATTACTTAATGTGAGATTAAGAGTTTAGTCTCATTGGTGTAGTTGAAATCTATATTCACTTTTTCTTGGAGACTAGTGGAAATAGTTGAAAATCCTGTGTGACAGGTCGTGATTTTACTCCCTTGAGCCAGGAGGTTTCCATGTAAAATCTTGTGTCCCTACTCTACTTCCAGTTATTTACTTTCTTCACTTTAACTATCTTAAATGGCCTGATCCTGTGATCACTGGTGGATGCATACATTCCAAAAATTGGTATCAGAGCATAGTTTCTCTATTTGGTTTACACTAAGAGAAAAGGGATCCTGAAGGAATGGCAGCTCCACCAAGTCTGGAAGAAGGTCAATCCACCACTCGTCCTCCTCGATTTAACGGCCAATACTATGGATGGTGGAAGACCAGGATGTACGATTACAGTATGGCAGAGGACAATGAGCTATGTGATGTAATACTCGATGGTCCTTACATTCCTACCAAGGATGTGAAGGAAGGAGATGTCACTAGAGTAATTCCCAAGTCTAGAAGAGAATACGACGAAGTTGACAAGAACAGAATTGAAAAGAACTACAAAGATAAAAAGTTGTTGGTTTGTGGGATTGGCACAGATGAATACAACATGATTTCTGCTTGTGAGAATGCAAAGGAAATCTGGGACTGCTTGAAAATAGCCCATGAAGGAACAACTCAGGTCAAGGAGTCCGAGTTGGACATGCTGATAACTCGATATGAGAAATTTAGCATAAAGGAGGGTGAAACCATCCATGAGATGCACACCAGGTTTACCTCCATAACCAATGAACTAAGGTGTCTTGGTGAGCCGATTCATTCAAGCAAGCAGGTTCAAAAAATTCTCGGAGTTCTTCCCATATCATGGGAAAGCAAAGTGAATTCTATCACTGAACCCCAGAGATCTGAAAGTCCTCACAATGGATGAACTGATCGGAAATCTGCAAACAAATGAGCTAAACAAATAGTAGGATTCTTCGAAGTGGAAAGGAAGAAAGGAGAAATCTGTAGCCCTGAAGGTATCTCAAAATGATGTCTCTGAAGATGAAGATGAAATGGCTTATTTGACTAAAAGGTTTCAAAAACATGGAGGGTTTCAGAAGAAGGGAACCATCAGCAGAATGACAAATGCCAACGACCTCTATCACAAGTGTGGAAAGCCAAGTCACTTTATGATAGTTTGTCAGAGTCACAAACAAGATTTCAAACGACGGCGAAGGATTAGGTACCTGACCATGCTAAGAGAAAGGCCAATGCAGATCAAGTGGTGAAGAAGGCCTTCGCAGTATGGGAAAACGCCTCTAGTGACTCTGAAGAGGAAGAACATCATGACGATGTCTTTATGATGGCAGTCAAGGATGATGAGAATGTTTTAAACTCCATATTCTCATTGATGGCCAAATCTGATGACGAAGATGACAATGATGAGGTAACATTTTTTGATCTCAAGGGTGACATAGACACATTGTCAATTAAAAGATTGAGAAAACTTGTTGATGTGTTAATTGACTCTGTTGATGAATTAACAAATGAAAATTTGATTTTAAGTGAAAACCTGAATCTCTGTGAAGACGAAAATTCTGCCCTTATTTCTCAGATGTTTGAAATGAACTTTAGGTTGAGTATTCTGGAGACTGAGAGTCATCAACTTGAAGAGGAACCTGGTACCTCTAAGAGTCGAAAAAGAAAACTCAGTAGCTTTGAACTTGAGTTAGAGGAAAGTCTTAAAATTTCTGAGTTCAAACTAGTTGCAGCCCTTGAAAGAAACTCACAGCTAGTAATGGATCTTAGTAAAGTTAAGGAATAGCTAAATCAATCCTGGAAATGGACTGACTCATCAATGATTCTTTCTAAATTGGCAGATCAGAAATTCAATAGTGGTAAGGGTCTAGGGTGCCAAAAGATAGAACCTCCCTATAACCCTTATAGTAAATACATGTCTGTGTCTGATAACCTGTTATGTACCCACTGTGGGAGAAATGGCCACTTGAAAAGAAACTGTGAGTCCTTAAAAAGGACTAAAGAAAATCAAGAAATGTTTTGTAAATCTGACAAAAGGAAGGCACCTGGTCCTAGATACCGGTTCAGTAAAAATACTTTGCCACCATGGACCGGAAGGTTTCTCATTAAGCCTCTTGATAGTTTTTGGGAACTCCATCTCAATGGGTTCGTAAATCTAACAAGTGATTCTTTTGTAGAAGAGAGGAAGTAGTCAATGCTGGTTCATGGAGAGTGGTTGCTTAAAGCATATGACTGGAGAAACTCAAAACTTCCTCTCTTTGGAAGCACACCAAGGTGGTGATGTGTCATTTGGAGACGACAAAAAGGGGTTCATCCTTGGTATTGGGAAGATTGGAAGATCTGTGGAACATTCGATAGATAATGTGTACTATGCGAATGGGGTGAAATACAACCTGCTCAGTGTTTCTCAGATTTGTGACAAAGGAAATGAAGTGATATTTGTGTCAAATCAATGTATCGTTACAAATCTAACTTCCAAAAGGGTTATTCTTATTGCCAAAAGGGCCAAGAATGTCACGCCCTGAGCCTACACCCTAGGCGTGGCTGGCACTCGAGAACCATTGTTGGCCCCAAGAGAACCCTTGGCCTGACTTAACTCTTAGCAGAAGACTTAAATCATTAATTAAGGATTCAATGCATATTTACTCAACTGTTTAAAAGATAACTTAGAACGTTTAAAGATAAAACTTTCAACTTAGCCAAAGTGGAGACTCAAGTCTTAACATAAGCAATAACAATGTAAAGACAAAAATCATTAATTAAGGATTCAATGCATATTTACTCAACTGTTTAAAAGATAACTTAGAACGTTTAAAGATAAAACTTTCAACTTAGCCAAAGTGGAGACTCAAGTCTTAACATAAGCAATAACAATGTAAAGACAAAAGAACTACTAACTGTCTATGAAGCCTCCAACAACTGAGATGGACGTCGGGACAAGACCCACGACATCCTAATAAACTAACTAATAAAGCAATAAAAGGGATCCTCCGAAAGCAAGAAGGCTCACCATAAGACTCTGAATGCTCAACTGGATCAACGAAGCACTGGATGTTGATCCTGATTACCTGTATCTGCATCATAACAACGATGCAGGCCAACTGACATCAATACATTGAATGTTCGAGCATGCGAAGGAAATTTTAAAACAAGACATAAGCTTGAAAGGAACTGAAAGAACATACCTGGGCTCAACTCAACTCAACTTACTCATTTCAATATAAAGCAATAATAGGAATGCAATATAAAGAAAAGCTTTTAAAACATGGATAACAAGTCTGTGTATTTAGACATACAAAAGTAACTCAATCTGTATGCAAAGATACAATATAAACTCTGTTTGTATATTAAGAATACAAAATACTTCCGTGGGAGTTTCTCTAACCGACAACCATCACTTAAGAGCTATTGTGATAACTTTGAAGCTATGTGATGATACAACGTTTTTCCTCACGCTTCCAGGGCCGTCCTATACCTTGCCAGGGGTATAGAACCTAACTACTAAGTGGATCCACTAATCTATGCTAATAGCATTAAGGAATCATCTAAAAAGTATGACCATTTTCTACCCATGATGGCTACATAGTTTATGGGGGATGGGAGTTGTCTAAACTATCCCCCATATCGGTGCTCAATACTACTCCCAAAATATACTAGCTCATATGTTTAAAAACATAACTCCTTTACGTGGTTTGAGATAATTGCTAAAAAAACTAGCCCTAAGGCTCTCTAGGAAATCAAAGTTTCCCCTTTTGCTTAATTGTGAAAGCATTTACTCTTTTACTAAAAAACTAGCTCAAAGGATCTGTTGGAAATCGTTGTTTCCTCTTTTGTTTAAATGTGAAAACATTTTACTCTTTGGGAATACATAGTCCTCATATACTATTTTGAAGAAATGAACTTCAATCTTTACTCTTTACTCAACTCAAAATTTAAGTCTTAAAACAAAGTTAAAACATTTGTAAAAGACATCTGGAAGACTCTAAGAACTTCTCTTGACTTGACTCTTAACTTTCCTTGAATTGAATTATGGATTCAAGGTTCATGATCTCATGTTTATGGATGATTTAATGATGTTGATACGTACCTTATAGTGTATAAATCAACTAGAAAACTTAGGTACGATTCAAGGGAACTTAAATGGAAAGAAGTGGGAAAGGGTAGAAGGCCTGGCGTCCCTGGCGCTCTGAGTGGCGCGGGGCTCCAGAGCTCAAACTTCAGAGCCTGGGTTGGGGATCTCTAAGGAAAAACTACAGAACTGGGGATGGGGTGCACTGGCTGGCACGACGCCCCAGAGCCCAAACTACAGACCACTTTATGGGGCGCTCTGAGTGGCGCGGCGCCTCACCCCTTTTCCCCAGAATTTTGACGAATTTTCTTGGTTGTTTTTCAACTCTAAACCCTCTAGATTCAATTGTATCTTTTCCCAAACACATAGATTCGAATACATAACCAAAATATGCAAGAATCTACTCAAAACGACATCTAATTGCATGAATTTAAATCAAGAACTCCTAAACAACTTCAACAATCAAGAACCCAATAGAAACTTCAACAAAATCCATCAAGAACTCAATTTCTATACTTTTAAGAACACAAATTCGCTGAATTAAATCATGATTGGCACGTGGTGAGCGAACCCAACGCTATGTCATCTCACATACCTCATAGGGATTAACCCTTGACGAAATCCACAAGCAAATCTCCAAGAACGTGACGATTCCTTGCTTCTTCTCCTCTTTTCTCCTTTTCTTTTCTCTCCTCTCAAAACCCGTACTCTTTTTAATGAAGCGTAAACTGAACCAAATCAGTTTAGACCCCAATTTTAATTACCAAAAATGAAATTAAATAATTGGGTAGTGAAAAGACCAAAGTACCCTTCAAAAATCCGATTTTGACTTTCCTTATCTAGACAACCCGACCTCAAATGGGCATATCTTCCTCAGATGAACTCGAAATTGAGCAAACTCGGTGGAGTTGGAAAGATAATTCAAAGTTCTTTCCTATAGTATCTAGTAGCACACCTAACTCATCTTGATCTAGGAGTTATGGTCGTTTGAAGTTGACGAAAACTCATATTTAACTTAACTTGGTCAAACTTTCCAAATTTGAGTATTTTAAAAAAAATGTCTTCTTTCTAGTTCTAGTGCTTTCGAATAGCGGGGTGTTACAATATATTTCCCTTGGGAAAATTCATCTCGAATGAGATTTACTCTTAGTAGGCTAAGGGTGTAACATCTAACATCTAGCTCAAACACCCAACAAGCAAAATGTAAACACAACATGCCAGCTTAAAATAAATGCCAAGAAAAGGATTAGTACCTTAATTTGGAATTTCTCTGAATTCGAAGAGATGTAGGTATCTCTTCTTCCTCCTCATCTTCCCAAGTAGCTTCCTCAACAAACTGATTTCTCCATAGAACTTTGACTGATGCTACCTCTTTCGTTCTCAACTTGCGAACTTGACGATCTAGAATCTGAACAAGAATCTCCTCATTAGAGAAGTTATCCTTAATACCAATATCTTTAGTAGGTATGATAAGTGAAGGATCGCCCATGAACTTTTTCAACATAGAGATGTGAAATACCGGATGAACCGCTGCTAAATCTTAGGGTAACTCTAACTCATAAGCTACATTGCCAATCCTCTTGGATATTCTGTAAGGACCAATATATCGGGGACTAAGCTTCCCCTTCTTACCAAATCTCATAACACCCTTAATGGGTGAAACTTTCAAATAGACCCAATCATCTACTTCAAACTCTAAGTCTCTTCTCCTAACATCTGTATAGGATTTCTGACGACTCTGTGCTGTTTTCAATCTCTCTTGAATAACTTTCACTTTCTCCATAGCTTGATGCACTATGTTTGGTCCTATCAACCCAGCTTCACCATCTTCAAACCATCCAATAGGAGATCTGCATCTTCTCCCATAAAGAGCCTCATACAGAGCCATTTGGATGCTAGAGGGGTAACTATTGTTATAAGCAAACTCTATGAGAGGTAGGTGATCATCATAGTTACCTATGAAATTAATCACACAAGCCCTCAAAATATCTTCTAAAGTCTGAATGGTGCACTCTGCTTGACTATCTGTCTAAGGATGAAAAACAGTACTCAAGTTCACCTTTGAACCCAAGCCTTTCTAGAATGATTTCCAAAACTTTGCAGTAAATTGTGCACCTCTATCTGAAATAATTGATACCGGAACTCCATGAAGTATGACTACCTCTTTAATAAACAACTTAGCATAATCTTTGGCTGAATGGGCAGTCTTTACCAGCAAAAAGTGGGCTGATTTAGTCATTCGATCTACAATAACCCAATTAGAATCATGTTGTCTGCGAGACCGTGGTAAACCTCTGATGAAATCTATATTGATCATCTCCCACTTCCATTTCGAAAGATCTATATTCTGAGCCATACCACCGAGCCTCTGGTGCTCTACATTAACTTGTTGGCAATTCGGACACTTAGCAACAAACTCTGGAATTTCCTTCTTCATACTACTCCACCAATAGACTTCTCTCAGGTCACGGTACATCTTTGTGGAACTTGGGTAGGTAGAATATTTGGAGCTATGAGCTTCCTCCATGATTCTCTCTTGAAGTTCATCCACCCTTTGTACACACAATCTACCTTGGTACCTCAAAATAACATCTCCCCCTTGTTCAAAAGCCATTACTTTTTGCTTATGAACATTTGCCTTTAATTCAAGCAAAACAGGATCTTGGTATTGTTTTTCTTTACCTTCTGACACTAATGATGATTCAGCGCCATTCATCCCCACTAGTCCTTCTTCTGTGGAATCCATTCAACGAACCCCTAATCGCGCAAGTCTATGAACATCTTTTGCTAACTTTTTCTTATTTTCCTCAAAATGGGCGGTACTACCCAAAGACAATCTACTCAAGGCATTAACAACAACATTAGCCTTATCTGGGTGATAAAGAATACTCATGTCATAATCCTTGAGTAATTCTAACCACCTTCTTTGTCTGAGATTAAGCTCTTTCTGACTAAACACATACTGAAGACTCTTGTTATCGGTGAACACATCTACATGAACACCATAAAGATAATGATGCCATATTTTCAAAGCAAATACTACGACAGCCAACTGTAGATCATGGGTTGGGTAATTCCTCACGTGAACCTTAAGTTGTTTGGAGGCATAAGCTATAACTTTGCCATTCTGCATCAACACACAACCCAATCCAACTCTGGATGCATCACAATAAACTACAAAACCTTGTGTACCCTCTGGTAAGGTCAATACTAGGGCAGTAGTCAACCTCTTTTTCAATTTCTGAAATCTTTTCTCACAAGCTTCAGACCATTGAAACTTGACTTCTTTCTGAGTT